GGGCATCGCTGGTGTGTATTGAGAGGGCCTGGTTTAAAACCTATGCACAGGGGTGGGGCCCCAAGTCCAGTCTGCTGCCCTGCATGTAATCCATGCAGCTGAGCGGGGTCCCTGTGTTCTGAAACTCTCATGCTTGGCCTGGACCCCGTGTGGTCATCTCTTGGATGACACCTTCCAGCTTCCAGCTCTGATTTAACAAAATGGAGGAGGAACAATCTAGCGGAAGGTTCTGGACCCATAAAAAGTGTATCCAAGTAAATATCATTAATGTGAAAGAGGGTGGAGTATGGTTCCTTGTTTGCTTTATAATGATCAAGTGTTGGCCCTCGAGGCACCCAGCCTTCCTCTGACCGTCCTATTTTTTTTTAAATATATTTTATTGATTTTTACAGAGAGGAAGGGAGAGGGATAGAGAGTTAGAAACATCGATGTGAGAGAAACATCAATCAGCTGCCTCCTGCACACTCCCCACCGGGGATGTGCCCGCAACCAAGGTACATGCCCTTGACCGGAATCGAACCTGGGACCCTTGAGTCCACAGGCTGACGCTCTATCCACTGAGCCAAACCGGTTAGGGCAGACCGTCCTATTTAAAATGTAACTCCTCCTGGCCCTGGCACTTCTTGCCCCCTCCTCTGCTTTATTGATCTCCCCAGGATTTACCACCTTCTAATACATGATCTAATTTACTTGTTGGTTTTGTTTATTGTCTGTCTCCCCCACTGGACTTTACACTAAATGAAGCAAGGATTCTTGTCTGTTTTGTTTCACTGTTGTAACCTCAGCCTTGCCAGTGGTGCCCGTGGACATGCAGTAAGTATGTGTTGAAGAAATGAATGCTTGAACAAATGACTGAATGAGTTCATGAATGAATGAGTGAGGCTGAAATGCAATGCCAGCAGTCAGGGCCAGCCCTGAGCAAAGCAGCAAAATCGGTGACGACTCTTCCTCCTCACCTGCATCTCAGCACCCTCTCTTTCCTCCTCATTCCCAGGCCTCAGTGACCTCCTACCCCCGAAGTGCCCTCCTGTTCATCCCTCCAGGCCTGCCATCACTCCCATGCCCCACTCTTTAAATGATATCTTCTTCCATCCCCTTGGCCTGTCGCAGGGGTCAGCTTGCCCGGGGATGAAGAGTGGGTGTATCCATGGACATCAGGCAGGGGCTGGTCGCCAGCCCTACATTAGCCCAACACCAGAGACTTCCAGAACACGCTTGCTATTTGAAATTAACCTCGGATCAGTGACACTTCTGATAACTGTCAGAGGTGCTATGGCTGAGTTGGGCCCTGGGTCTCAACCAGCAGAGCCTGGCTGCCTGGACCACCTGGCCCTCAGGGATGGGGCATCTATACCTCACAGGCTGAAAGGAGAGCAGGGAGCCCCCACAGCACCTGGCTGGCCTCCTCTCTGTTAGGTGTGCTCACCCTGCTCCTCCCTGTGACCTGTCTTCAGCTAGAGTCCTCCACTGGGCAGCCCCCACAAACCCCGGGGTCAGCACGGTGATGCGCCTGCCTCCTGGTCCATCCACAAATGCCCCCTTTTGTCCTCCAGACCAAAACACCAAGGGCGTTCCCACAGCCACAGGGTCATCTGCTCCTGTCCTGAATCTTGACCAGTGGAGTCCTCCTTCTGTTAGCTAAACGGACTGAAACCCAGCCCCAAAGACAACCCTGCATTTCATTCCCACAGAAAGAGTCTTCTCAGGAGAGAGAGAGAACAGAGAAACCCGAAGAGAACAGCCACCCTGACAAGACGTATGGGCCTGCTGACTCAGGGAGAAATCACACAGATGGAGAGCGCCCTCTGTGGGGAGGGCAGGTTCCTGAGAAAGTGACATGCTATTGAGACACCTCCCTTCAAGACAAGTAAGCGGGAGGTGACGTTAGAAACCCAAGTTCCAGTCCTCACTCTGTAACCAAATAGCCATGGGACTGGACAAGTCACTTTCTTGCTCCAAAAATGATGGGTCTTTATTTCCAACTATAAATGAGGGGCTGACAAGGTCTCCTCATGCTCTATGGGCTGTGGTCATAGGGTTTATTTTTTACAAAAGAGGGGGGGAAAAGGAAGTTAATTTGGAACTCTCTTGGGGACTTTAAAACAAGAGAAAGAACATGACGTCATCAGGATGGAGGACGCCAGGAACTCATCGGGGACACCCTAGACGCCCATCACAGTATTATACCCTCAAGCCCTGTGGAACCTGGTACTCGGGGACACAGAAGGGGACTCTGCAGGGATCCTAGGAATGACATAGGGCAATGGTTCTCAGAGTGTGGTCTCGGAGGGTCTCTGATGCCCTTTCCAGGGACCCTGCAGGCCAAAATGTTTTCATACTAACACAAAGACAGTGTCTGGCTTTGTCCCTCTCATGCTCTTATAAGTGTGAAGTGGTATTTCCCAGAGGCAACATGACAAGTAATATCGCAAAGATTGAATACAGAAGTGGTTGTGAGACCAGCTGTCTTCTATTAAGCCAGCCATTAAAGAACTTTGCAGAATTGTAGAACAAGGGTATTCTTCTCAATGCTTTTTGTTTTGGGAAAAAGTTTCCTCACCCCCGAAAAATGTTATTTATATTAATGGGTAGTGGGTTTATTATTGTTATTTCTAAGAGAATTCCCAAGTACATATTTTAAATGTCTCTGGTTTAACTTCTAATCTGGTAAATATCGGTAGATATAAACTTCATAAGAGTTCTTGAGGTGCTCAATCATTTTTTAAAGGACAAAGGCACCTGAAGACCAAAAAGGGAGCAGGACTGGTCTAGTGGGCAGGTTGCCACCCAGAGAGCTGCTGGGCTCTGCCGCCAGCCAGTGTGCAGCACTGGACACGCCTCCCAACCCCCAGGAGCCCTGGTTGCTTTGTTTATAAAATGGCAGTGACAATTCCAAAAAAAAATATAGAGATCGCTATCTAACTGTGACCCCATCACTACAGAGAGCAAGGGGAAGTGGCCCTGGACTGCACAGGCCCAGGGCCCGGGTGCGGGATCTGGTGATTCCCAGTGCACCCCTCCCTGGGCAGTGGGACGGCTTTGTCCCCTATGGGTGCACAACACAGGCTTGGCTGTGAGTGCCAATCTGGCTCTTCCCTTGCTGCCCCAGGGACACCCCTGCTCCCAGGTTTTGTTGCAGCCAAGAGGCCGGGCAGCAAATCTGCCCTTCCCAGCCCCTTGGGAGCCCACCTCCTCAGAAGGCCCTCGGGGGTACCAGAGCCCCAGGCGTGAGAACCCCTAGGACAAACAAGGAGCGTCCAGACAGCAAACACCAGCCTCTGGTAAACAAGAGAGGTCTGTTCCTCCCTCTGGGGGCATAGGGCCTGCGGAGAAATGAATTCTTCTCCCACACACAAAGCCACTCTGCCCACAGCACAAGGGGCACTTTGTAAGGCTGGACTGCGGGGAGGCAGTGATCAGAGGGCCTACCTTCACCAGCAGTCTCCCGCGGCCATCCCAGTCCATCTGCAGGTCTTCCCTGTAGCTGAGGCGCACAGAGGCCATCACGGTGTGCTGGATGCGGAGGTCACCTAAAACCGAGCAGGGCCAGAATTTGGGCTAAGATGGGGAGAGGGCAGCATGGTGGCAGGCAGATGTATCCTGGGGAGAGATGGGCTGTCTCACCAAGAACTGTAGCAATGAAAGCAATCCGTTATGGGGACGATGGAGGTGTCCCGGAATCTTAAGGGGGTCTCAGGAGGATGGGTGTAGTGCAAATAGGATTCCCCAAGAAGGTGCCTCTGTCTTCTTGCTGTAGCTTGCCATTCCCCCTATTGCCACAAGGTGGCGGCCAAGGTTTGTGCATCCATAGCTTGCACAGGCGCCCTGAGCCAGGGATCTGTCTTCCATCGAACCCCTGAGGCCTAAGCATTCCTTGGGCCGGTCTGCTGCTGCACGACCCTTCTAGACTGAGTGACTCAGTCCTCACAGCTGAGCGATACTGTGCGCCCTGGAGGAATATGTCGTCTCATGGGCAGACACACAGCGTTAAACTGACACACAGGCATGCTGTGTGCCCACTGGCCCCAGTTCACCGGCTGAGAGCAATGCCAGAACAATGGGCCAATGGCCATGAAGAAGAAGACAAGGGGAGGGGTCTGAGAGCCACTTTGAGGGTGACGTTTGAGATCATGCTGGGCAAAACGGCACAGTGCAGCCTGGCAAAGCACTGGACAGGTAGGTTGCTCCCTGTCGTGGGTCACAGGGTCACCTGGCTCTGTCCCATGACATCCAAGGGTCTTACTCATCACCAGCCATTCCTCCAACCTCTCGGTGACAGGCTTTGATCCTTTTCCACCTCAAAGTAGAACCAGAAACATGAAACCCAACCCTCAATTGTCCCCTTGGCTCAAGCTGAGTGGAGAACCGTCTGGGTCCTGCTTTCCCTCTACACTCTCTCCCAGGCCTGGAGCAGCCTCTTCGTCTCCAGCATCCAGCCATCTTCCTGCACTTGTCCTCCTCCTCCAGGAAGCCTTCCATTCTTACAGGGATGCATGCCAAGGATACCCAGCCTGCCCTCCAGAGATAGCACTCTCGCATGTTTCTACAGAAGGGAAAGCAGTGAGCACGGCTGAAGGGCAGGTGCTGTGGGAGCTGGGCCAGCCCAGCCTGTAAGAGGAGGCGGGACCCACCTTGCAGGAGAGGTAGCTGGACATCCTGGCCATCTATGGCGATTCCTCCCCCATGCTTCAGCTTCACCAGGCTGTTGTGCAGGCTGGGCAGGCGGGCGGTGACTGAGCGGGTGCAGACAGCATCAGGGTCATCGGCGCACTGCCATGAGGGGCATGCAGAGTGACGTCACCACACCCCGCCAGCCCAGCATCCCAGCCCAGGACCCCTGGACTCAGAGAAAGACTCCAACCCCACACATCCTCTGGCCTTCTCTCACAGGACAACCCCACTGTCACAGCTCCATCGCTGTGAATGGTGCCCCTGGAGTTGTGCAGCAAGAAGGTCCTGAGCCCAACCTATCCCCCTGCCCAGCTTCCCACGGTTCCTGTGCCCTTTCCTGTCTGGGTCTGGTAGTACATGAGGCACCCCAGGCCTCTTGTTCCTTGGGCCTATTGTCCCAAAGCGAATCGGGACTCAGACCCTCAGGGGAAGCCCTACACACTCTATATGTCCTCCCCTTGGCTCCGTTCTCTAGAGAAAAGAAGCATGTTGTGTACACAGCAGCTCAGTAATGAGGGACCACTCCCCCCACCCCATCACTCCTCCGTCTGCCTCCTGACGGGTGCCTGTTGAGCTCACCTGCACGGTTTCTATGACAATGGAGAAGGAGTGGTCCTGGCAGTCCCGGGCCAGCAGGTACTGGCAGACCCCACTGAAGGTGAAATACCTGTCGTCAAAGCTCTTGAAGTGGGACTGTCCTGTGATGATACACTCCTCCTGCAGGGGCACAGAGGAGGGGGGTTAGGAGGGGGAGGGGGGTCAGGAGGAGGGGGGATCAGGAGGGGGAGGGGGGTCAGGAGGAAGGGGGAGGTAAGGAGGGGGAGGTTAGGAGGGGGAGTGGGGTTAGAAGGGAGAGGGGAGTCAGGAGGGGGAGGGGGTTAGGAGGGGGGGTCAGGAGGGGGAGGGGGTCAGGAGGGCAAGGGGGAGGTCAGGAGGAGGACGACCCTTTGCCGCCCTGGCATCATGGGGGCTCTGGACC